AGTGTCTTCTCAGGACCAACTCCCCATCTCCCCCTTTTGTTCCCAGACGAAAGAAGGGCATACGGTGGTGCAGAACAACCATGATCTGCATGCAGTAGCTATCATTCCTAGGTCATCTCAAAGAACCCTCAAGAAAAGGTACAACTTCTCTGACCTGAGTTTGATTCCTGCTCACTTTGGGGACATATCCACGACAGCTTCTTGGCCACAAGATGGAAGGGCAAAATCCTACGATGCAATTCCCAAAATAGAAGCAAAGCCCAGATTGTCTATTTGTTCCTGTTGAGATCCTAAGGAAGCTGCAAGAAAAGACTACATGGACATTGTGGATGTCCAACCTTGGCAACTTGAAGACCCTGGACTTCAACTCCCAGAATTCCCCAGCCAGCATGCCACAGTGGGACACCCCATTGTGGAAGAGCACAACTCCTGATATTGTTGATGCTGATAGATTTCCCTCCCAAATCAACTAGATCAACCATTTAATCAGAATTATTTCTGAGGGAAAAAGATTTACAGGAGGTCCTTGACTTACCACTGCAACCGAGTCAGAATTATGACCATAAGTCATTAGAGTCATAGGTTGAGGCACTAAGTGGCCAGACGGGATTTTTTGGCAGTTTTTGCAGTGGTCATGAAGTGAACGCGGCAGTCATTAAGCGGATGCTGCAGCTATTAAGCGAACAACATGGTCGTTAAGGGAATCCATTAGGCCCAATGGGTATTTCTTGTTGGAAGCTAGAAGCAAATGCCCAAAACCAGCAATAAAGGTCAAAAAACGTGGGACAAGGCAAACAGCTGTAAAGGCGAGCCAGCACCCAAAATGCAATCATGGAACCTTTAAACTTTAACTTTGAAATTCTTACTTTGAAATTTGGTCTTAATGAGAGGTTGTCCTAACTTTAAATGGTCACTAAGCAACTGGTCATAAGTCGAGGAGAACCCATACTACTCCCATGTAGCTTGTCGAAGCAGCCTTTGTTTTCTCCTGCTTTTTCCACCAAGGGAGAACTTTGTAACCTCCCCAAGGGGAGCTGTAGAAATTCAAAAAATCTACCCATAAGTCAGATAAAGAATTCTGTCCAGCACTATATTGGGGCTAGTCTTGATAAAGCTAAGCGAGGTCAGGCACAGTTGGGTCTTGGATGGGCAACTGCAACTAGTCCTCAACTGACAACAGATCATGTAGTGACCGGTTGAAGTTACAACGGCATGGAAAAAATTGAGGTCGCAGCATCCCAGGGTCACCTGACCCCCTTTTGCGACCTTCCGACAAGCAACGTCAATGGGGAAGCTTGATTCATTTAATGACCGTGTGACTAACTAAACAACTGCAGTGGAAAGAAAGGTCGTAAAATGGGGCAAAGCTCACTTAACCATTGTCTCGCTTAGCAACAGAAATTTTGGACTCAGTTGTGGTCGTACGTTGAGGACTGCCTGTCTTTGAATATCCTAGAATTGCAAGGAAGACATTCCACCTCTTAGTAAACCTTTTGTGGACGACAACATTACGGAAGTCCTTCTGTTCCTCGCTCTGAGCAGAGAAAGCATTTCCTCTGGCTCTTGAAGAAAAAACGGCCCTGCAAGATTGGCCGCTTCGTTTCCTGCAGAGATGGGGAACGAGGGCCATATTTCGGACTCGTGGCCTTCAATTCCCAGAATTCCTGAGCTTAGGAAGTCCACAAGTCATAAAAGTGGCCCTCGTTCCCCACCCCTGGTTGTTCTGCCTCCTGGATGCGCTGCTCCTTCCTGTACGCCACCCCTTCCCTCTGATGTCTTCCTCCTTTTAGGACCTTTACCACCGGACGGTGACCGCCTGCAGCGCCATGCTCACCAGCTTGCTGTCGGAGGCTCCCAATTTGGATTCCCTGCAGGAGATCTTGATGGTGAGGCTTACTCGTGTTCTGGCTGGTTGCAGTGGTCGGCCAGAGGTTCAGACGGGACTTGGCAATGTGGTCCACCCGTAAGAGTCCTTCCCAAGGACCAGGGATAGGCAGACGTTGCCGTTGGTTGGCAAAGTATTGTCACAGCTGCGGAATGGAACAACTCGCCAGGGGACAACTCGACAACTCAGTGTAATTATTTAGAACAGTTAAAACGTTGTTTTAATTTTTGTCATTCGCATTTCATTTTGTCCCTCTTTTGGCATCCTTTCTTTAATGATGCTGTTCCACTATTTCTCCGATATTAGTGTAATCCTTCATTTAGTGGCTGTTCGAAGATACAACGGCACTGAACGGCTGGTCAGAAGGTCGCAAAAGGGGACCGTGAGACCCCGGGACCCTGCAACCGTCCTAAATATGAGTCAGTTGCCACGCATCCGAATTTTGATCCTGTGACCACGAGGATGCTGCAACGGTCCTAAGTGTGAAAAACAGCCACGACTCCCTTTTTCAGTGCCATTGTAACTTTGAACGCTAAATCCCAATAGCCCTTATCCTTATATGCCGCTTTACAGTGCTTCTACAGCCCTCTCTAAGCGGTTTATGGAGTCAGCATAATGTCCCCAACAATCTGGGTCCTCAGTTTACCGACCTCAGAAGGAAGGAAGGCTGAGTTGACCTTGAAACGGTCAGGACTGCGGGCAGAATTAGCCTGCAATACCGCATTCTAACCACTGCGCCAGCAGGGCTCTCAATGAACTGTTGTAAACTGAGGACTGGCTTTATTCCAAAAATCTTCAATTACTGGTCTAGTTTTGAGTCTAGAATAGACCTAAACTGCCAAATGTCTCAACTTCATTTGGCTCCTTCAATTTTCTCCCCAGTGCTGGCAAATTCTGTGGATCTTCAAACTGTTAATCACAAATTCTTTCTTTCTTTCTTTCTTTCTTTCTTTCTTTCTTTCTTTCTTTCTTTCTTTCTTCCTTCCTTCCTTCCTTCCTTCCTTCCTTATCTCTTTTTTTTTCCTGGCAGCACACAAATATCTGGATTGAATCTCCCAAGATTCACGAGAGAGAGAGGGCCATTAAAAGCACCCGGTACCTCCTGAAGTTTGTTTCTGAACAGACAGATTTCGACGTAAGTCACAGTTCTGGATGAGAAGTGAAACTTTTTCAGAGGAAAAATAAGTAAGAAAGTCCAGTTGTCTTCTGGAAAAAGTGCCTTTGGGATGTGACCAGGATGTTGTCAAGAGTCCTGCTCGAGCAGCAAATTGGAGGGGAATTAATCCACAGTCCCTTCCAGCTCTGTATTTCTCTGATTTTAACCTTTCCTTATTCTAAGGGCCTGGGGGTCTCCAGCGTGGCTCGCTTGGCAGATGGAGGGGGGGAACGTAGTTCCTGCCAGGCTCTGGGCTGGCCTCACCCCCTAGTGACTTCAGACTCTCATGATGAAGCAGCACATCCCACCTTCGTCGCCACTGTTCAGATTCGGATCTTGAAAGCATTAAGCGAGAGGAGTGTTGAAACAGCAACAAGTTTATTTAACTCTGAACAGAAGCAACTGAAATAGCTGCTGCGCAACTATTTATATGGTCAGCCTCCAGGCAGCAGCCAATAGGCTTAAAGTAACAGTTTCCCGCCCAAAACCTAATTACCAGCCTGGAGACAGCCAGTCTGGCTTAAGTAACAGCAGCCGTTACATTAGACATTCAGCAAGTTATTCAAAGCAGTTGTGACCAATACATTACACTAATCTTCTATGATTCTATGAGTCTAAGGTTCTATGATTATAAGGTTCCATGATTATAAGATTGTATAATTATATAATTCTATGATCCTGAGATTCTAAGATTCTGATTCTATGATTCTAAGATTCTATGATTATAAGTTTCTATCATTCTATGATTCTGTGATACTATGATTCGAAGATTCTATAATTCTAAGATTCTGTGATTCTAAGATTCAATGATTATAAGTGTCAGAATCCAATTATATTTCATCTTTAAGCATCAAATATAGAAAACCCCAATTCTGCCTTCTCTGGATTCTGCCAGAAGAGGGAGAGAAGGGGGAGAACAAAGGGGCTTTATGCAACCACTTCTTCTTAATAAAGGATTCCTGTTGGAAGAATTATTCCAAGAGTTCTGTCTTCTTAAGATGCAAAGTGGGGTGGGTCCTTACAATAAGGTTCCATGATTCTAAGATTGTATAATTCTATGATTCTGTGATTCTAACATGGTACGATTCTATGATTCTAAATTTCTATCATTCTATGATTCTGTGATACTATGATTGTAAGATTCTATAATTCTAAGAATCTGTGATTCTAAGATTCTATAATTCTAAGATTCTGTGATTCGAAGATCCTGTGATTTGAAGATTCTATGATTATAAGGTTCCATGGTTCTAAGATTGTATACTTCTATGATTCTAAGATTCTGTGATTCGAAGATTCTGATTCTATATTAGGCTGAAAGCTTCATGAGCCCCCTTCTCTTCTTTCTCCTCCTTTCTCCTTCCTTTCATTAGACCACAGCTGACTTTTATCTGCTGGGGCAGCTGGTGGCGTTGCTGGGCCTGCACATTGGCGACAGTGTCAAAGAAATTGGCCAGACCTCTGCGGAGGCCGCCTACCACCTCCACTGCATCATCCTGAACAAAATGGGTGAGAAATTTTGACTCCCTCGCCAAGGGGCTGCCGTGCTCTAAGGAAACCGCAGATGCACGCTGCCCAGGAGAGCAGTGGGTGGCACAGCCTCTGGCTTGACCAAGACCCTGGGCACTGGGCTTGGCAGAGTTGCCTTGAATGTGCAATTGATATTGGCTTCTCTCGGGGTCCTTTTAAGGCTGAGTTCTCACGTTACGTGGGACAGTTAGGCTAAGCACCTCCGGTCACCCAGCGCGGGATTGTCAGTCTTGGCCCACTGTTTGTGTCTTAGCGTGTTTTGCAAAGCCACATTTTAGTAATTGGATGGCTGGATGTATTGTGGGAAGGGAGAAAATGGGTTAACAAAGTTACTGATTGGGTGGACAGTGTTAAGGGAAAAGCTAAAGGACGAGTGCTTAGCCTTAGAATAAATTCTACGTTAGTTTTATAGTTTCAAGACCATTTCATATGTCTTCTCATGTTTTAATTGGGAGCCCTCCACAATCAGTTGAAAGGCAGGCAGTTGTACAAATGCTTTAAAGAAAGTAAAGGCTCTGTTAAATTTGGTGAGTTAAAAGCTTAACCCAGTGATTGTGAACCTTGGCAACGATAAGACGTGTGGATTTCAGTTCCCAGAATGAAAACAATTCAAAGCCTAATGCTAAATTTGCACAACAGGCAAAATGTAGTCAGAGTTAAATCCAGTTAGATTCGTTCGTTCATTCATTCATTCATTCATTCATTCATTCATTCATGTAATTTGTTTCTTATGTAACCCTGTTTATTTTCTCTTTAAGGTCCAGCCTATTGTGTTAATCTAAAAAAGGGATAGAGGGAGGGAGGGAGGGGACAGAGGGAGGAAGGGCGACAGAGCAGGACAGGGGGAGGAGGAAGGGAGAGAGAGGGGGAGGAGGGAGGAGAGGGAGGGAGGGAGACGAGACGGGGGAGAGAGAGGGGGAGAGAGAGGAAGGGGAGGGAGAGAGAGGGGAGGGGAGGGAAGGGAGAGAGAGGGGGAGGGAGGGAGGGAGAGAGGAGAGGGGGAGAGAGGGAGGGAGAGAGAGGAAAGGGGAGGGAGGGTGGGAGAGAGAGTGGGAGGAGGGCGGGAGAGAGAGAAGAGGGGGGAGGGAGGAAGGGAGAGAGGGAGGGGGGAGAGAGGGAGGGAGAGAGAGGAAGGGGAGGGAGGGGAGGGAGAGAGAGGGGGAGGGAGGGAGGGAGAGAGAGGGAGAGAGGGGGGAGAGAGAGGGAGGGATAGAGAGAGAGGAAGGGGAGGGAGGGGAGAGAGGGGGAGGGAGAGAGAGGGAGGGAGAGGGGGAGAGAGAGAGGGAGGGGAGGGAGAGAAAGAAAGAGGGAGGGAGGACAGAGAGAGGGAGGGGAGGGAGGGAGAGAGAGGGAGAGGGGGGGAGAGAGAGAGGGAGGGAGAGAGAGGAAGGGGAGGGAGGGAAGGGAGAGGGGAGAGAGAGGGAGGGGAGGGAGAGAAAGAAAGAGGGAGGGAGGACAGAGAGAGGGAGGGGAGGGAGCGGGGGGAGAGAGAGAGAGAGAGAGAGAGAGAGCATGCCTGCTTTAGCATCACCAACCCTAATGCAAAGATGCACCAGACTGGGGTTCGAGAGTTCCCCTGCCCAGGTTCCTTTTCCTTTTAGCAAGAATTTTTGTCACCCTACACAGCAAGGCTGAGCTCGGACAGCCATTTTTTTCTTTGCAAATGTTTGTTTGGCAAGGTCCTCAGAACAGCAATATGTAACACACACACACACACACACAGGGCCTGAGGATGGTGCCAGGAAATGACAGTTGGGTGGGGTTCTTAGTGCTCTCTGAGCCTGGCAGTTTTCTTGCAGACCTTTCAAGACCCAACTAGGTAACATCTTCAGTACTTTTCTCTGTGTTTTGCCCTCTCAGTACTGATGGCCATCATCACTTGCTGTGAAGGTTCTGAGGTGTTGCTTGATAAAAAAATACAGGAAACCAGAAGTTCCCTTTAAGCTTTACATTTTTATTCAGCTGAACAAAGCCCCGAATGAGAAGAAATCCGTGTATTTATTCCTTCTGATTACATAAGCAATCCACCCGGCAGAGCTGACACACACATAAGATCAAGATTTCGCCCCGTAAGTCTGGCACACTGTAGCTAAGAAGGGAGAAAGCAGAAGTAGCTAAAAATGTTCCCTTTGGGGGGTTTCCCTAAAGACCTCGGACGTTCCCGGGTGGGTTAGGACGTGGGCTGTTTTCCTTGCTGCCCTTTCACGATCTGCCTCCATGACTCTGCAAGGGCCCAAAGTCAGCGGGGCTCTCGGCACATATTCACAATTGATACTTCCTATGCTGTCTCCTGATTTGGATCAACACACTGATGATGTTACCTAGTAGGGTCATGAAACGTGTGCAAGAAAACCACCAAGCTCAGAGAGCAACAGGAACCCCCCAGTTCAGCCCTGAGCTACACATTTTCTCTTCGGTTGGAACGACTAAACCAGCAGTTGGGAAAAGGATGTTCAGAGGTTCTGAAAGCCAAAATCTGACCTTGTGGTTTTTTTCCTCCTTACAAAGCTCAAGAGATGGCGATGAAGCCCAAGAATAAAAAGGGGCATAATGTGACATGGGCAAAGGAAGATCTCCAAAGTTCAAGCCCAGGGATCTTCTATAATGACATCTCCATAATGGCTAAGGTAGGTTTTAGTCCAGCCTTTTGCTTTCTTCTTCTTGACCTTCCTTTCTGTCCTCCTCCTTAGGACTTGGAGATGCTCCAAAAAGCCAGTGTAACAGTGGGGAGGGCATGATCCAAAGGCTGGAGTTTGGCTGTCCATCCCATACAATCCATGGGATGAATGTATAAGAATGGATTAGAATCAAGATCATGTGAAGAGTTAATACCACTTTGTAGTGCCTCAATAAGGCCACACTTGGAATACTGCATCCAGTTTTGGTCACCACGATGTAAAAAAGTTGTTGAGACCCTAGAAAGAGTGCAGAGAAGAGCAACAAAGATGATTAGAGGGCTGGAGGCTAAAACATAGGAAGAACGATTGCAGAAATTGGGTATGTCTAGTTTAATGAAGAGAAAGACGAGGGGTGACAGGATAGCAGTGTTCCAGTATCTCAGGGGCTGCCACAAAGTAGAGGGAGTCAAGCTATTCTCCAAAGCACCTGCAGGCAGGACAAGAAGCAATGGATGGAAACTAATCCAGGAGAGAAGCAACCTAGAAATAAGGAGAAATTTCCTGACAGTTAGAACAATTAATCAGTGGAACAACCTGCCTCCAGAAGTTGTGAATGCTGTAGCACTGGAAGTTTTCAAGAAGAGATTGGACAAGCATTTGTCTGAAATCATGTAGGGTTTCCTGCCTGAGCAAAGGGTTGAACTAGAAGACCTCTTAGGTCCCTTCCAACTCTGTTATTCTATTCTAATGACCGGAAGACGCAATTGCAGCTGCCATGTTGGCTTCTTTTTACCCACACCCTAATATCAGTGAACGTGATTGACAACATGGAATAAGCCCTGCCTCTCTGTACAATGTCCTTTCCCCAAATCTTGGTCAAAGTATCTGAAACCCACCCACCTCTTGTAGAGAAAATGGAGTCAAAAAACCTGATTCATCTCTGTGTGGTCTCCTTTTCTTCTCTCCAATAGGCCTTTGGTGAGCATCTCTCCCCCATAAACATCACAGACCTGATGCTGAAAATAATTGAGGCTCTCACACATGAGGAGAAGACCATTTGCCAGGCTGCGGGAGTACTACTCCTCTCCTTCCTGGAGGAATGTTGTATGGACATGGAGGAAGTAAGAAATGGAGGGTTTGGAGCAAAAGGGATATAGGAGATTTTGTAGAAAAGAAGGATGAGAATGGATGAGACCTTGTGCTCTGAGGCCCTCTTGGTGATGACAACACTTTGGCTGGTTTTAAGAAAGTTAGGGCTGGATGGGAGACCACCAGGTGATCTTAAGGCTATAAAGTTGGGTAAACCTTCCAGAAGAAGGTAAGGGCAAAACAAAATAGCCATATTGTTTTCATGAAAACTTTATTTAGAGAGCCAGCTGGATAGAGGGGTTTTTTTGGGCCCACAGTCACAATTCTGTGATGATATTTTGTCCCATTTATAGAGGGCCTCCGCGCATCTATTGTGGCCAGTGCAAATTCGGTTCAGTGTTGTCCATATCACACGGGGCTTGATAAACCAGATGTTTTTTTCCAAAATGTAAGGCAAACTTTGACACTGTGTGGGCCAATTTTTTTCCCCAATGGGTGGGAGTGATCAACTCCACTGCATCTCCAGTGGAGACCGACACCGGAGCTCATCCCTCTGATCTCTGTTTTGCCGTAGGTACCCAAGATCCTCAGGGAAATTTACCATCGTCTCCCCAACATCAGTGAACCGGCCACAAAACAAAACACCCTGAAGTCCGTGTGTCACCTGGCATCTAAATGGGTGAAAGAAGTGGTGGACTTTCTCCTGGAACGCTCCCCGGATTGCGATCAGTAAGAACCTTAAGGAGATGAGGACTCCTGTTTTCTTACGGTCTACGGAGATTGTCAATCATTCGTGATAGTGGAGAATATCTGTAGCTGGGGTGGAGGATGAGGGTGGAGGTTCGTCCTCTGAGCTTCTGCCTGGTTTCCGAATGTTTCATTACCAGGCTGGGTAACATCTTCAGCAGAGTTTGTGGGATGTTGGTTTTTGCTTGTAAGGGCTTCAGGTGTGGGTGTGTCGAGTGAGGGTTTGTGAGTCATCCGTGATGGGGAGGGGACCTCTTTGGCTTTGGGCAGGGGGTTGGACTAGAAGCCCTCCAAGGTGCCTTCCAGGCCTATGAGCCTAGGAATGAGAGAATAACAGAGTTGTTAGGGATCTTGGAGGTCTTCTAGCCCAACCCCCTGCTCAGACAGGAAACCTTACACCATTTCAGACAGGTGGTTGTCCAATCTCTTCTGAAAAACCTCCAGTGTTGGAGCATTCAGAACTTCTAGAGGCAGGTCGTTCCCCTGGTAAAATTGTTCTCAGTGTTAGGAAATTCCTCCTTAGTTCTGGGTTGCTTCTCTCCTTGATTAGTTTCCATCCATTTGTGCAAATGATTTGTGTTGGTGAACAAGCCCTCTTGATGTGGACCCCCCGTGGGACCGCTGCCCCATATGCTGTGGCTTTGGGGGGGGCATGTAGGAATGAAAGGGGGGGAAGCTGAGCTGGTTTTCACCTTCATTGTGGTTTGCAGTGGTGGTGACTATCTTTAGCTCAGGTGAAGGAAGCGGGTAAAGATTCGTTCTCCGATCTTGTGGGTTGGTTTCCAAATGTTTTGTTACCAGGCTACGTAACAACTTCAGCAGAGTTTAGGGGATGTTAGTGTTCCTCTGTTTATAAGGGCTTTGTGTTGTGATGGGGAGGGTCTTGTGATGGGTCTAGTGATGGATCTTGTGATGAGTCAGTTGTGGGTCATGGGTGAAGATCTTGTGAGGAGTCCTGTGATGGTCACGTGCTGGTTGGGGGGAGTTGTGGTGGGTTGGTTGAGGGTCGGTGTCATCGCCGGTTGGCTGTGCAGTCGATTTGAATGCTGCAAAGGTTGTAAGGATGAAAACTGGTCATACGTCCCTTTTTTCAATGCCGTTGTAACTTCAAACGGCCACTAAATGAACTGTTGTAAGTCCAGAACTACCTGCATAACTGTCCACAGAGATTCCCACTCATCCAGGTCCTCCTTATCCCAAAGGTGCTTTTTCACCAGGGAACTGGACTTTCTTCTTTTTCTGTTTTCTTTGAAGACGTTTCGCTTCTCATCCCAGAAGCTTCTTCGGCTCTGACTGAAGGGGAACGGAAGGGTTTCATTGATTCTTGACATCCAGGAGAGATTTTTGTCTTGTTGTGTAAGACTGAAGATGGTGACCCTGAAGACACAGATAAGCTTCCAGATAGCTTGAACGACTCACAGAAAGAATGCAAACGACCAGCTGCCTGCAAGAAAGAGAAGTCCTTTCATTGCCCACCATCCAGTCAGAGCTGAAGAAGCTTCTTGGCTGAGAAGCGAAACGTCTTCAAAGGAAAAAACAAAGAAGCAAAAAAGTCTCGTTGCCTCGTGAAAAAGCATCTTTGGGATAACGACCTGTATATTTCTTTTCTTGGATGAAAGCCGTTAGTTTGGCCATCACTGCAAGCTCCATCAGTTCTCTAATCCTTTCTTTCATTGGAGCTTTTTCACCTCTGGACTGACAGTCTCTTCTGAAAGGGGGAAAGAATCCAATTGATCTAAACCTATTTTTTTTCCACCTCTGCAGAAGTGCAGGAGAGATATGGAGGGCGCTGACAGAAGACCCATTTTTAAAGGGAAAATTACTAAGAGCCCTGCAGAAGAGGCTCCGGGGAAAGCGCTGTCGATGGCTGTAGACCCTGGGATACAAACACTCCGTTCCCAGGGTCCAATTATGTCGCTGGCGGGCCCATCAGGGCTGAATGCCACCCTGGAGGTGAATTCTTTGAAGAAACCAAAATAGCCTCCGGAACCGGCAAGAGAAAGGCGGAGAGCTTCGCGTTTGCCACCATTTCCAGCAGATCATCGGAGACAGGAGTCAGCAGTTTCAGGAAGCAAGCAACCTTTCCAGGTGAGACGATATTAGTTTTTGTTGCAAAGTGGACCATTGAGAAAATTGCCTGCCTTTAAAGCAAAGCTGGAAGCCTAAAGGGAGGAGGAGGGGGGGAGTTTTGCTTCTTCCTCACCCCCTGAAAAGCGGCGGTTTCAGCGTTTTAAGACTTTTGAAAACTTTTTGAACTCAAGCTGAATTGAAGGAATCCGCCTGTTTTATTATAGAGGGAAAGAAGACCTACTATTATTATAATTGGGAAAAGCCACCTTAACTGCTTTTTTTTAGTATTTTTTAGAACGTTCGTTTTGTATATTTACTGTTGAAACTTTCTCCTTTTTTTACTTTCTCCCTATGTAGGTGAGGAAAGAAACAGCGTCTTTCCTGTGGCTATGGGGTGGTTATTTTGTAATTTTTTCCTTTGTTCCTTTTTCTACACTAACTTTGTTGATTCAGCTGTGGAGTTTGGCTCAATGCCCAGACATTTTTCTCTCTCTGGGAGATTACTAAGAGAGACTGCTTTTCTTTTTTGCTGTGTCTGGTTCCCTTTTGGATTTGCTTTATTCTTTTCAAAATAAGGGAAACTGCAGAACAAGATTTGTAAGCTTTTTAACTGGACTATAAATTGGATACTGTTTTTTTTACCCTGCTCCTTTTTTTATTCTTTCTTTTTTGTCAACCTTGCTGTATGGATATAAACATACCTTTTATGTCCTTTTTATTATTATTTTGTTTAGAGACCTTGTATTCCTTTTTATATTTTTTTCCAGCATTTCCGACATCCCTCAAACTCTGCTGAAGATGTTTCCCAGTCTGCTAACGAAACATTTGGAAACCAACTCAAAAGCTCGGAGGACGAACCTCCACCCTCAGCCTCCACCTGAGCTACAGATATTCTCTACTATTACGAATGATTGAGACTCTCCATAGATTATAAGAAAACAGGAATCGTCATCTCCTTGGGGTTCTTACTGATCGCAATCCGGGGATACTCCAGCAGGTGGTCCACCACCTGGTTTACCCGTTTTGAGGCCAGGTGACACACGGACTTCTTTAGTGGCCGGTTCACTGATGTTGGGCAGTCGCTGACAAATTTCTGTGAGGATCGTGGGTAGCTACGGCAAAACAGAGATCAGAGGGATGAGATCCAGCGTCGGTCTCCAAACCCTGCATTTCTTACTTCCTCCATGTCCATCACACATTCCTCCAGGAAGGAGATGAGTAGTACTCCCGCAGCCTGTGAAATGGTCTTCTCCTCATGTGTGAGAGCCTCGATGTTGTCATCAGGTCTATGATATGCGTGGGGGAGAGATGCTCACCAAAGGCCTATCAGAGAGAAGAAAAGGAGACCACACAGAGATGAATCAGGGTTTTTGACTCCCTTCTCTCTACAAGGGGGGGCAGGTTCAGATACTTTGTCCCAGAGGCAGGGCTTATTCCATGTTGTCAATCACGTCCACTGATATTAGGGTGTGGTTAAAAAGAAGCCAACTTGGCAGCTGCAATTGCCTATTCCTAGCCATTAGAATAGAATAACTGAGTTGGAAGGGGCCTTGGAGGTCTTCTAGTCCAACCCTCTGACATGGCTTCCCCATCACAAGACCCATCAGAAGATCTACACCTGTGACCCACACCTGACCCCTCAGAAGACCCACTCGACACATCCACACCTGGAGCCCTTACAAGAAGAATACCAACAGCCACTATTTGCAAATAGTGGAGAGGTGGACCTTAGATAAGAAAGCGGGAATCACCTGAGCAGATGAAAATTTGGTAATTCAGATTAAAGATCAGAAATATGCTCATATTAAAAGAATTTATAATGAGTTAATAAAATTGGATTCGGAAACAGAGCTAGTAAAAGATTGTATGATTAAATGGGCTCAGAATATTCAGGAACCGATTTTATTGGATTTATGGGAGTTAATTTGGATTAAAAATGTTAAATTTACACAGGCTCAAAATTTGAGGGAAAACTTTTATAAAATGTTTTATAGATGGCATCTGGATCCTAAAAAGTTGTCTTGTATGTACCCGAACCTGCATCCTAAATGTGGGAGATGTGGTAGCTTGGATGCAACTTATTTTCATGTTTGGTGGACTTGTAAAAATATTAAAGCCTTTTGGATTATGATTTGGTGGAACATTCAAAAAGTTTTTAAGAGGAAGATTAACTTTACTCCCCAATAATTTCTTTTGGGTATTTTTGTGGATTTTGATGCTAAAGAAACTATTTTAATGTTGAGTTTCATAACAGCAGCAAGATTATTGGTGGGTCAATATTGGAAGAAAGACTCTCTGCCTTCTTTAGAAGAATGGGTATTTAAGGTTTCTAATTTAGCAGAAATGGCTAAAATTTCTCTTATTTAAAGGATCATTCACAAGAGAGATATGTTATTGTATGGAGAAGATGGATAGAATATGTTCAGAAGAAATATGGAACTACAAAATTTCATTTATTTGATGAGTAATGGATTTGTTTATAAAATTATGATGTTAAAGTTTGAAGAGAGTTAAGGGTTAGTATGATTTTGGTTATTGTATAATTAGTAAACTTAAGCAGATTATGTTTAATATGTTGGTATAACCCTGTACTTGGCTCTGGGAAGCTGGGGGGAGGGGGAGGGGGGAGAGGTGGGGGGAGGATGGGTTGGAGGTTAAATAGGTCATATAAGTAGAAATAGTTGTTTTCTTTTGTATATAATATTGATGTTTTAACTTGGAGAGAGGAATTGCTCGGGTATTTCCCCTGGACCGCATCCGGAGTGAGAAGATAGGAGGAAGGGGCGAAGTAAGTAGGAAGGTTGAGGAGAAGGAGGAGAGGGGGAGAGTGAGGAGGAAGAGGGAAAGAGGTAAGTGAGAGAAGAGGTTAGAGGGTGGATGCGGTTTGGGGGGAAATGGGTGAGCAATACCGAAAGTTGTCTGTATAAATTTACTTTATTCTTTATCTGAAGTATTCTTTATGAATGTAATGAAAAATTGAAAATAAAAAATCTTTTACAAAAAAAAAAAAAATACCGACATCCCTCAAACTCTGCTGAAGATCTTACCCAGCCTGGTAACAAAACATTCTGTCAGAATCCAATCATATTTCATCTTTAATTATCAAATATAGAAACTCCCAATTCTGCCTTCTCTGGATTCTGCCATCAGAGGGAGAGAAGGGGGAGAACAAAGGGGCTTTATGGCCCTCACTTCCTTCAGTACACTTCAAAGAGCTGAATGCTGAATGTGTGTTTATTGTAACATCAAAGCGTTAGCACTAGAGAACCTTATCATAACAAAGCAGGGTACTTGCCTTTCATGTAGTTACCTGAAGTCTCCATTCAGACGGAAGAAAGAAGAAAGGGGGTGGAATTGTGATACTTGAAACTATCACTGGAAGGGGGGTTGATTGGGTGGGACTACTGGGGAACCCCTTAAAACCTTGAATGGAAGAGCTTGAACCCCAAGTCCTGTCTAGCATGCCTGCAACCATTTTCTCTTAATAAAGGATTCCTGTTGGAAGAATTATTCCAAGAGTTCTGTCTTCTTAAGATGCAAAGTGGGGTGGGTCCTTACATTAGACAGGACTTGCAAAATTAATCCACCTGGAAGGAAGACCCTTGCCGGGGGATTTTGCAAAAATTTACCATGTCAGACAATGGAGCAAGAGAGGGGGAAAACTCCCTGGAAAGAGAGCCGCTGACCCAGTTGGAACCTTGCCAGATGTTGGGATCCGAGAGGCCAGATTCCTCAGGAGAAGAAGTGGTGGAGACACAGGACCACAAGCCTCGCTGGTCGATGGGCGTTGGAAAGAAAAGTGAGTGGGGAAAGGAATCAAGAAAGGTGACCCTGAGACGGGGGACCAAGCAACCAGAATGGAAGCAGGAGATGGAGAAATCCCTGCACGCAAGTGAAGAGGGAGGAAGCTGGGCACCGTACTCAGACTGGATCCTAGAGAAAGCTATTGACCTGATGAAGAGAACTCTCAGCTCCCTAGGAGAGGAGAATACTGAACCCTACGGCCGCCCCAGTTCCTGGAGCCGCAAAGGGAGAGACACCGAGGGGGACGTGGAACCTGCAACCCCAGGGACATCTACTGATCCAGGAGCTCCCACCCCCTACCGGACCACAGATGGCAATCTGGACGGAAGGCACTACCACCCACAACAGAGGCACCGATCCATTCCAAGACGTCCACCGTTGGAAGTGAAATTCAAAGGGGAGCCAACACGCTTGGGGTTTTTCCTAACCCAAGTCCTCAGCTACATGGAGGAATATGGGCAGGATATTCCCAGCGACAAAGCCCGCATCCGGATCGTGCAATCTGCCCTGGATGGACCAGCTGCGGATTGGGTAGTGAACTTGCATGACTCCAATGCCCCAGAACTCAGTAACTTCAACCGTTTCATGTCCTCTTTGAGAAGACGATTTGAAGACCCCCTGGCTGATCGCAAAGCCCGTGAAAGAATAACAACGATGAGGCAGGGCAAACGCCCAGTGGCTGAGTATACACAAGAATTCCGGGCCATTGCCAGCAAACTGAATTGGCCAGAAGACATCCTCCTTGGCCATTTCAAAGACGGACTAAACTATGATCTATATGATGCTTGCCTGCCCCGAGGAGACCCACATCGACTTGAGGAATGGTACGTCTTGGCAGAGGAAGCAGAGATCGACATATTGAAGAGGCATCGCCGAGGAAAACAATGGAGCCGCCCCCCGCCTGAGCTGACACACCAACCGGTGAAATCATCGGATACAGCCAAGAAGCAAATGGGATGTTTCAAGTGCGGAAGAGAAGGGCATCGAGCTGTAGAATGCCGCTCAAAGGCCCCCCAGCACAACCCAGACAGATCCCCAATCAACAAACCCGGAAAGTATTCAGCTAAGCCAAAAGAAACGGCCATGAGAATGATGGAAATTGCAGAAACCCCCACCTCTGCTCACCAAGGGGAAAGGACTCCAGCCTACACCACAGGGCCGGTGGATGCCTCAGATGACAGCTCGGAGGGCGAACCCCTGGTAAGTGGATGCATCACACCCATCTTCAAAACAGTGACTATATTAATCCCCCCCATGCCCGAAGCTGTGAAGGTGAAAGCCTTA